GGKTTTTTTAATGTATTGTTATTCACTGTTACTATTATTGYATGTTTACAAGGGTTCAGTTTTTAGCAAACCCTTTGACAGCATGATATMGCTTGATGTCATGTTATTAAATATTGATGAGCTTCTTTACAAATCAAAAGTTATTCGGACTTGATTCCATTACAGCTTATTGCTACCAACAACGTTAAGTACYCTCGAGCGTCAGTAGCCTCTATTTTCATATTTAAATTAAAAKTTCTCAAAGTTTTGTAAGAAAATCTTATGGATAGTGACGAAGAAAGTTTTGATCCATCGAATTCTGGGGAAGAGTCCGAGGAAGAGCTCGAAGAAATCGAGGAAAAGCCAAATGAAGACAAGGTAAAGTTAATTTTCACACCATCTTCTGTTGTTTTTAAGTGCATCCCGTCAGAAGGGTATACATCAGAGTTAATCTTAACTGGAATAGCTTATCTAGAGTAAAATAGCTATTAAAGGCTTTATGTTTTGCTCTCCCAAGGGGTTTCTCGGTTTTGAAATGTCGTCATGATACAACTACACAAATGGTGCCACAAGTCAAAACACTTTTGATTTCAAAGCTCGCATTAAAAATGCGCAAAACGAGAGACATAATTTACAATCTACAACTGGATTACATTAAAGCTAGATACTCCGCGTGGTTTAAAAGAGAAATTTTATTTGTGAAAGTTTTAACATTGAATAGGATGTGAAATATTAGCAAGATTATTGTTTTATTGTCATTTCTGTTGCAATAGTACACTCGAAACAGTTGCTATGTCATTTATGAGCGCACGTTTACATCACGTATGTATAGATATGCAGCTTCTAAAAAGCTTTTTAACGTTTCAACACTTGAAAAATTAGCGTTGTACTTAGTCCGTCAGAGAAGCTTTCAGATTCGTGCAAAGATCTTTATTCGCTAAAGCATCTTAATTTGCATACTTTTTTCTTCAATGCACCAAAAAAAACTTGTTTCAATAATAAATTAGAGGATAAAATCTCTTTTGATTAAATATCACAGTTAAAAACTCAATTCTTGCAAAGCAGGCTGTTTTAAAGTTTGTAGTAAGCTCAAGTTTTGCAGATTCTTAGAGCGCAGTAGTGCATAAGTGTTATTTAAATCATTATCATGAGCTAGGTAACTAGTCTAACATAGCTATGCAATAACTTGTTAGTCGTTAGAAAACATGGAACTATTTTTAAGAGATGACAATGCGTTTTTAATTTTTAACCGTTTCTTGCAAAATGGGCCGTCATGTTTTGGGAAATTATTTACAATGTGTAAGCCTTTTTAAATATAACTCTTGTCAAATTCCAAAGTAAAGTTACCGTTTCCATAACAGTTTGCCAAAAACACTCTAATTGGAATGAGATTTGTCAACATTGAACCAAACCCGTTTGCTTAAGAATATTAGGGTTTTTTTAAACGTTGACAATGATAAGAGAATGCGCACTTTTAAGAACTTCAGCATTGATGGGACGCGGCTTTTTSAGTAGTAAAAATGCTTAAAAGTATTGAACATGAGGTATGTGACAATTAGTGATCGCGGTTCATCGCATGAGTTATGGAATCCATACATTGTGTAAAATTTGGGGGAGCTAGGGTTCCGCTAACTGGAGGGATTCTCCAACGAGCTTTTTGCTATAGCKTCCTTCTAAAGAGTATCTGGGCAGCATGTTTATTTCAAACATTTGAAGAAAAAAAATCCGTGAAACAATAGGAATTAAGAGCTTTCTGCACGTTTAAAGAGGAATTCATTTTGCTGATTTCAAATTAAGTGCTTTACTAAAGCAAAGTGTTTCTCTTAATCCGTGAGCTTCAATAGCTGTTGTAACTTTAAATGCCTATTAATTGTACAGAGCTGTAATAATAACTTGCTATTTTTATAAAGCTCATTAGAAGGGTCTAGAACAATTGCCTTATKATGCCGACTGCGTTTTTTTACGCGAATAACAARGTAGAACAGGTGTCTAAGAAAACTGTTAAAGCWAAAAAAAGCTGAATATGTGAATGCAAATAGGTACAACAAGTCTCTTTGCGAAGAAACGTTCGGGATAATAATATTTAGTGTWCTTAATACTCATGAGCGCAAGGGAGTAGGCTTGTGTCATGTCATCTCCCGCAGWRGACATCATCTTTTTCCTGTTCCTCGATAGCGGGGTGKCTATACTAACAACGTATGCCCTTCAGGAGCGAACTGRATGACTTAATAACTGATACCATAGCAAAATTTCAACGAAATTRAAATGAACTMATGAGAATTGAAAAACGGAAAGGAAAGTTGTAAAATCCCAGCTCTATTTTTTTAAAGGTTTTTCATCTGAAGGATCTTTCGCTTATCATATTAATTATTTGTATTTAGTTTGAGATATTTGGCTGATATTTGACAATTATACTATATATTTTAACAAAAGTTTAAAGTAAGGCGACAGTTCTTACTATAGCTAGCTAGTTGACTGCGGTCATCCTTTCATGAAGACTTCTTGCCAAGAAGAAAAACAGTGTTGTTATTATCAAAATTGTCTTAATTAAGTTACAATCTCGTTCAATTGAGGATAGGCATGMACCCCCAAAGACCCTAAAAACATCTACGAACACGCCAATTAATAGAGAATAAAGTCAATCTGGAACATTCGACTATCGCACTAGGAAACCTAGTTTTTCATTTTTTTTCTCTTAATTACTATTTTAAGAATTGAAAGCGAGTTTGTTAATTTTTATCTGTAACGTGGTGATCTAATAATCATGGATTATTGTGTGCGGTATTGAGTTTGACAGCCCTATTTGTATTTAGAATTTCCTTTGATTATTAAAGCTGAAAGTGTTTTTGATAACTGCGAAAGATTTTCATTGTAGCCCGAGGTGTTTTTATTTACATCTTTTGGTAGTAATATTAATTTACAGCTGTCAAGGTAAATTGTCCAATGTAAAATAATATCAAAATATGTCAGTACCGCTAAGACAATATTGATATTTTGCTAATCGATCATTCTCAAAACTAGAATGATACTTATCTTTGAATAAAGTTTYCTAAAGATTTCAATAGACCACGAACTGAAAATTTTCAATTTTTACCTTTTTAATATTTAAAAAGTCAATTAAATCCTTCAAACCTGAAACTTAATTAGCTTGCTTCCCTGTGCGTTACCATGACAACAAAGAAATMTGACATGWTTTTAATTATTRGAACTGTTACAGGGGAGCAATGTGACTGAGCTGTTAAAACGACAGAATGTCAAGTTATTAATTGTTTCTMTCTGTACTACATGATGTCMGGCTCGCCTACATTTTTCCATTGTCTCAGAGAGTTTTTCTCACTGATCCCAACAGACCACACGAKGCGAAGCCGAATAGACGATTGATCTAAGTGCAGTGCCCGAGAAGTCCATCTGCAGTAGTATCGCAATAAAATCTAATTTAGTATCGTAGTAAAATGTTAAAAAATAGATGAATATTAAAGAATCAAAAATTCAGAAGACGCCTAACTTTAAYTTTTAAAATTGTTGCTCTCCGCTATCTACTTGTAAATAACACTTTATCAACATATAGGCATGCATAAATTCCACTACAATTGGGAGATGAATGAAAGATAAAAAATATCGAAGCATAGGAAATCATGGCAGTTATGAGAATGAATAGAAGATAGAACACGGGTCTTCGGAGATACGCATTTTATCTTCGCGTGTTGAAAAGATCTCTAAACGAGTACGCGAGGCGAAAGCAAACTTTGTCGTAAAATGTAGTTTTAATGTATTATTATTAATGTATTATTTCCAATAAATAGAGAAACCTCGATTCGATAATTATCAAGTGATGTATCAAGAGATGTATCAAGTGAAGTAAAGTAGTACATACTAGTTTGGTGGTATTCTTTAAGGTTTTGCTTTATGACCATCTTATTAACGATTGACACAACTCACATAGAGCACTAAAAAGCACTAAAGCACCAAAAGTTGGACTGAAAAAAAATCTTAAATTAAAGTCAATGTAATTAATATATTGTGGTAACCAGAAAACACTAAGTAAGAGATTGCGCAAACTGATTACGCTAATTAAACAATTAGGAGCAAAGGATTTTATTGTGTTCAATTGCACTGATAATATAAACTGAAATAATAAAAAGGATATAAAAATAATAAATCTATAACTACTACTTTTAATAATAGCGATAAAAAGAACATTTTTTTCATACATGATTATATGTATAGTAAATTTAAATATTAACAATTGCTAGATGGGGTTGATAGGAACGCAGCTGGCATAAGTGGTTGTTAGGCGAATGACAGCATCATTTCCGATGTTTGTATAAGGTCTTCATATCATTATTGTCATATATTCCTTAAATCTTCAATATTTTGAAAAGTGCATGGTTTGTTGTGTCTTCATAKCCGAATTGATGTCCATGTAAACGGAACTTTGAATTCGCGCAGCTTCCKCAGTTACTTCAAATTATATTAAAACCGACAAATTTGTTAGACGCTGGACGGATTCAGCCAATCACCTGCGAGTATATATTGTGGATAGAATAGAAATAATTGTACTTAAAAATAAAATGTTGAAGATGGARTTAAAGTGTCATGACCGTTTTACAACTACATAGATGCACCATCTATATTAATTTTTTACATGCTATATATATATCTACATATGATTTTTTAAACTAACTAAAATAATAATGATAAAAACACAACAAAACAAGAAAAAGCGTGTCCGGAACTTTTGGTGTACGTTGTCTGGCACTTCTAGTATGTYCATTTCAAATTRAAAACTAAATATTTCCAGCTGTYCCACGTGTTTCAACTCCATTCGTTTCTGTGCATGTTTTCAAAACAATTATTTTTCATTGTTCAGCTAATAATCCTAAAACCTCAATATAAAAACATTTATTATCATGGCAAACACCATATTATTTTAGAAAACAACTTTCATTTCCTCTCTCCAAGAAAATCCACCGTTAGGGGCGTTTTCGATGAAACATAATCAACGGTGATTTAATTGTCAGCTGTTTCGCCGTGTGGGAGCCCAATACGTTCTCATTCGCTAGTGTGATGCTAGTCTCGTCAAAGCTTTGATTGCACTCGTTTCAAGTAGCCATAAAAATAAGATAACTGGGCTCAAAATCCATACAAAAGCTGCAATGTCAAAAGTCAATTCTGGACAGGAATCATTGCCGACAACAACGGTATGGTAACGGTTTACTATACGCCAAACAATTTTATCTCAATTTGGAGTCATTTTGGTAAAGCCTGAGGCATGACTATTGTAGTATTTCTAACTGACATAAAAAACGATGCTGTTTAACGTTAGAAATTAAAATTGAAGTTAAAAGAAGTTTGACATTAACAATATCAGATGAAAAAACAATTTTCCTGTGCTTCATGGCCACTTTCATTAATTCAAATGAGCGGCATATATTTATCATCAGTTTGATAGATCTCTCTTTAATCAGTTGAGTAAATTATATCTCATGTTTAGAATGGCGAGAATGCACTGATACTGGCAATCAACGCTGGAAATTTCCTGGCGATAAAAGAGTTGCTGGCTTCGGGACAGGCTGATCAACAAGTCAAAGCAGTCAAGGTTAGAAGAAGTATAGAACTATGTGTAGCTGACTAATCGTATGAAAAAATAAATTAAAAAGTCTTGGCCAGGTTGTCTTAGTAAAGGAAGTAGAGTATCTTTACTCATCCCATATATTCTAAATTTGCCACGTTCTTTGACAAAAAACATAGAAGTACATAACTCAATTATTTGTTGTATATCCCAAAAGATGGATACCTAAGAAATACAGTTCTTAACTTGCTTAATGCCTTCTGTGATAGGCAAATGGCGATACAGCCCTCCACGTTGCAGTACGGAGAAGGGAAATTGATATTTCCAAGCTATTGATACAGTATGGAGCAGAAATCGATGCACAAAATGTAAGTACATTATTGTTAGTCCAGGAAAAGGGTGCGRATTTCATGATGAATTGTTTAAATTTATTGTTTATGGAACATCTGTGATATTTGGAACGATGARAGATTTCGTGCCCTGATAATAGAATTAGCTATGGAGACACACCCATAATTCAATGCTGCAGTTTTACAGCTATGGAATTTATCCTTCCAAAAAGTTAAAAATGAGATTTGATTAAAAAGATGAAGAATGCAATTAAGATATATGGCTARCCACACTATGGGAAATAAATACCCCGTCCTTGATATAGTAGTGCAGTATTATACTATAAGCCATAGCTAAGGAAATTTATATTATACTTTGAATTGGAGTTAAAATGAAGTCTTTCTTGGTGAAGAGATTTTAAATGTTGCATGATCACAGATATCTATATGCTAAGTAAATCTAGATATGGAGACACGCCCACAAGCAAGTATACGTGCAGTGCTCATGTGACAAGAAATATTTCAAATTCTAAAGCTTAAGATAATAATAGCTTTGATTGCAAAAGACTCTATTTTAATCCTCATCACAAATGTTTACAAAGTGGGCGATAGGTTTACCAAAAAAATGGTTTATCATAGAAGATGTTACTTTGTATAGACCATATGAAAAAGGGCGTGGCTATCGTAACGCCTTAGTTTATAAGTTGAATAATATATTATTACTGCCCGTTGAACGCGGCATATTACAATGAATATGATCTGAAAGTTTCAATGCTCTAACATTTACGGACCAAAAATTAAAGGTGAAATTGCATATATATGGTCATTAGATTGGCCGAGCTGTGGAATGACGGAATAGCATTCGATAATTAACCAATGCACCTGCAACACAATGCAATCTAACCGTTTTTCGTTGATTCAGTGTCAACCAAAATGCAGTCACAATTCAAATCAATAAGTCAAAAATTTAATAAGCGCAAATATTGAGTTTATAAAGAACTAATTATTTGATCTACCAGGAGGATGGATACACCGCAGCCCACATTGCTGCAAGGGAAGGAGATGAACATATGTTCAAAGTTTTACACGCCTTGAAAGCTAAAGTGGACATCACTGATCATGTAAGTAAACTCACCTTGTCGTTAATTTATTCATCTTGGTCACAGTCAGCATATAAACTAGATTCAGGTTCTTTTTTTCGTCTTACCATATATGCAGTAATTAACCTTATTTGGTTATTGTTCTTCCCAGGAGGATCGTACTCCCCTTTACTTTGCAACAATGAAAGGTGCAACAGGAATTATTGAATTTCTTATTGATAAAACCAAAGCCGATGTTCAGATCAGATCAAAGGTAACTGAAAATCGTTTTTGTCCGTCATCATAATCGCAATCACAATCATTATCATCATTGTAACCATTTCCTTTTTAGAATGGGAATACTCTCCTTCATCTGTCATGCGCAAATGGACACGTCGAAGCTACATTGCTCCTTCTCAAGAAAGGAGTACTACCACAAATGCCAAATAAGGTATGAAACTTCTTACTGTTGATTGGACAATCGAAACTGTATAAATTGTCGAATAATAATTTCGATACTATCCACATTCACTGTCAATATGAAYACRTTCTGTCTTAATTTTAGGAAGGCTCTTTATGCATTCATAACGCTGCGAGAAATGGTCACGTGGGCGTCGTCAAGGCCTTATTGGATAAAGGTGTTCCAGTCGACATTAAAAATAAGGTGTGTGGATCATTGGTATAAAGTCAGTTGTGCCTCGTTAGCGCAGTAGGCAGCGCGTCAGTCTCATAATCTGAAGGTCGTGAGTTCGATCCTCACACGGGGCATTTTTAAATAGTTTTTCCTTGGAAACACGGTACATTTTTTCTAGCAATCGGGTAACAGTTTTGGATGTTGTGTGGTAGTCATATGATTCCAAACAGTTGTGCCTCGTTAGCGCAGTAGGCAGCGCGTCAGTCTCATAATCTGAAGGTCGTGAGTTCGATCCTCACACGGCGCATTTTTTTAAGTAGTTTTTCCTTGGAAACACGGTGTAATCCTCATACGGGACAATATTTTGCAAATTAGCTCTTTACCTATTCTGTAGCTTTTTTGAGAGTTGATTTGACTGTATTTTATTTCTTTATTTTAGAATAATCTTAGCGCACTTCACGAAGCGATCTTAGCCAGAAGGCATGGTGTTGTACAGCTGTTGCTAGGATACGGTGCTGATAAGGAACTCCGCGGAGGAAGGGTATGATTGCACACATTCAAACGAATTTTATATATACAGTTACTCTCGGGCTCTGTGGTCATCTGATTTCGAAGTGGATAGAAATATAATTTCTTTTTTTTAGTGAAAGTGAATATTAATAGTCTGGAATCTCTACCCTTCAATAGGACAAAGAGTCACCAATACATATGGCAGCAAAGGTCAGGGATGGTGAAAAGGTTGCTGACATTTTGATTCGAAGTGGGGCCAACCCCGACACAAAGAATGAGGTTYGTCAGGAATCATATTGAATCCTCTGGACTATAATACTTTCTTAACTGCATACTTTTCTGTTGTCTTAATTGCATTAGTCTGATCCGGCAGTGCTTTTTTTCAGCCTTCTTAATTACCCTATTTCATTATGACGTCACAGTATTTTACATCGTCAATGCTAAAAACAYTGGAATTTTGGACCCATTTATATTGTCTCCCAAAGTAGAACTTCAATGAATCGTGTTTTGACATATGTTATGTATAAATAATTGTTCGCATACGTTYTATTTAAGTTCGTCCTTATAGGGACCATAATCCTTAGCGTTAAAACAATAGTTTGTTYTGATGTGACGTCATAATAAACTTGGGAGACTTACTTCATGCTTTTAAAAMAGTCCAAAATCCTACAGTACTAAGAGCTTGGGAGTGTCCGTTGAAACGGTTAATTTATTTYATTGTAGAAAAATGGAGAGCGAGCTTTACATGTCGCTGCAAGAAACGGTAATCTTAAAGTGGTTGAACTTCTTTTGAAAGAAGATGTCGAAGTAGCTCGRCGATCATCAGTAAGTTATGCAATGCCTCAACATTGAAAACCAGAACGAACGCAGCCCGTCAAGCTTGACTTTTCTTTGTTTTGAACATCCCAGTGGGTATTTTTCCATCCATCCCGCTTTGATGCAATGTTGTCCACCACATTTATTCAAGAGATGGTTCAACTACTATATATACTTTTCAAAGACACTTGAAATGTAAAATGAAGTATTCTGGACTTATTTTKCACTTCAGAATGGAGAAACACCCCTTCATCACGCATGCGCTAATGGACAGTTCGACATCGCTAAATTGATYGTCGAGAAACTCTTCAAAGACAAATCCTACGTGTTTGCCAAACTCGTTGTGAACATTCCAAACGATGTAAGTACAGTAGTG